CACCCGCGCTTTTAAATTTTGTTACCCGGATGGCCACAAACGCACATCGACGGGCACACACAGACAGGCAGTCGCACTAAAACGAACGGAAAGCACTTACACCACGGGACAATTTTTATTGTCATGTGCTGGGTCCATTGATTCCATCGCATGCTCGTTTCCCCGCCTGCTGCTGCTGCTGCTGCTGCTATGATTATGTACTAATAAAAAGGTAAAAATGCCTCAATTTCGTTTTTTGTAGGCGAGTCAGCCAACCGATTGTGGATGGTGTCGGTGGGGGATACGTGCAAACGTGGGGCCTTGCCACCGACTTTCTGGTTTCATACTCCAGTAGTGCAGTTGTATATGGTTGTTTTGTCTGTAAGTTTGGGTTTATTTTGAAATTTTTGAAATTTTCTATTGCAATATTTGGGAAGTTTTGCCATAAAAAGAGGCAACAGGGTTCTACTTTATGAAGTTATAGAAATCTACGTTGGTGGAACATTAACCACTTGTATTTTCTAAGCTATAATCACTTTCAAAATTTGTGATTTTTATTTGAAGATTAGGCAAAAATATGTTGCATAGATTAAATGCTTTCTCCGAATTACGTCGACCGCTACCCGTTTGACCAAAAACAAAGATGCACATCGATTGAGTTGCCAGCAGCAACAGCTAGAAAAGATTTATGTCGTCTACGTCGTTCGTACCCCGTTTCTCCATCCGTTAGACGGGTTGTCTGGTGCATTGAAAATACGCAAAAAAGGAAGAAAATGATGAATTTCCATACTATACGTGCCCGTTTCAAATGCCCTGGCTATGGCCATGGCTATGGCTCTGGCTCTGGCTCTTCCGTTCTGACCAGCCGATGGCTCTGACAGCACTAGCAACAGCAACAGTTCAAAGGTGCGCACTCCCGACGTCGTGCATCGTCATGCCCCAGCACCCAAATCCCCGCCAGCACGACGAGCGGCTCGTGTCACTGATTTTCCGACGACGACGACGACGATGGTTCCGATGAGAAGTGGGGGTGGGGTGGCAGTGGAGGTGGGAGTGGGAGTGGGTGGTCTGGGATGGGCGAAGACTGATGCTGCCGGGTCGCGGAGCAGCAGTGCAATGCCACTGTGTTGTGGATACGTTGCGTCGCTCTTCAGCGGTATGGGGCAGACCCACCACCTCACCCACACCCACACCCACACCCATGCCCATTCCTAAGCCCAAGCCCATACCCACACCCACACCTACACACACCCAGGGCGCTCACGTACTCTATGCATGTGCGCTCACACACGGTGTACGTATACGCGCTTCTATGTATACAACAAGCCCTTGTGCGCCCACTGGAATCGAAATGGGGGTTGAAACAGCATCGTTCTGGCCTTTCTCTTGCCCTGCAAAAAGTTTTCATTATGAACGAGAATCAGTTGTGGGTTCATTCGATTCGGGACGTTCGAGGCGGAAGTATATGCCAACGCTTGGCCTACAAATATTTATTACGCTTGGCTCGCGTGAACCACCGTTCGCAGTTTTTTTGCTGTTATTTTTTAAATATTGTGTTCATTTACTGTTCATATTAATATTTTTTTTGTGTGAAACGCCTTAGTGCTTTAAGGTATAAATAATTTGTTCCTAAGCTTAGGAAAACTTCTATGTGCCTATGTAAGTTATTTAACAAAATAATATTAGGAACAATTGCACGGTCAGCTGTTCTGCCATTGCATAGTCGATATGGAAGGAAAGGAGTCAACAATAACAAATCTTATATTATTTCCCAGGGGGACTTCTAAACCAACTATAATATTCACCGGTAAGGTTAGCCTCTTTTAAAACATTTCAAACAAACAGTTAACGAAACCAAAGACAAAAATGTTGTTTCTTGAGAATGTGCGGTGGCATATTGTGTGAAAGTATCGCAGTAAATTATTTTTTTAATGTTTGTTGAATAAGACTCAACGGTGTTTTGCTGTTCCTTCTTAGCAGATAAAATATTGGCCTATTAAGACAGTAACGTCAGACAGTTGTATGTTATTTCTTAACATATCCAACAAATTATTGAAATAATATGAAAATTCCCAATAGATCAACCATCTCGCCTTGCAAAAAGCCAATAATTATGCGAAAGCTTCGAACTTAATGTGCTCTGCGATTAAAACACTAAAACACTGCTATCCAAAGTTGAAAAGAAAGCCCGCTCTGAATTTGGTCAGAATCATATGACGTGTTAGATTAAATGGTACAAAACCATCATCAAAATGCCATCTTATGGTTCAGTTAATATCTTATTTATTTCTTCCAAAATTAACGCCATTAGTTACAAGGATTTTGATTTAGATTTATCCAGTTATGATGTACACAGTATGTGTTTTTTGTGTTCTTTGAAGAATGGATTCTCAGTCACTATAATATAAAAATGTCCCAATTTAAATTTTATAAACCGAATTAGCTACTTTGCAACAGAAGGAAGACTTTTGGGAAAGTTTTATCCAAATAGCTTTAAACCTAGCTTGGCGTAGAAACCAAGCGTTACATGGCTAAATCGACTCGTTAACCCATATATCCTATACAAATATCAATGACTTCAGAATTTAAAAAGTATATAAAAATAACAAATAATATATTACTGGATTTCTTGTCGGTGTTTAGCCCTACATGCAGCTAAATTTGTTGCCCTATAGATATAGATATATGTACATACATTTGGCCAGAGTGTATGATCATTTAGTCGGCCAAGCAGTCAGGCGGTGCTTTTTGAATGAACACAATAAACAGGCACTCAAATGTTACCGCTCTTGGACTTTATATGCTCGTTCTTGCTATTGAAGCACAATTACAGCCAGTCAACCAGCCAGCCAACCAAGCAGTCGGACAAACAGTCATCCGGCCATCGAACTATATCTTTGTCCACGGTCATGGTCTATTGCCTTCGCAGTGCTCTTGGACCACATCTAAATTTCCAACAGGGGCAAACGCTTGGGCTCGTTGCGAATACAACATACAACACACGTTATTGTGCGCGGCCATGAGGGAAAAGACTGAACTCAATAGTTTTACTCCTTATCTATTGACTATTTTTTGCAAATGCAATCTACAAATTCCTAGATAGTACCGACTAATTTAAGTTTCATCCAAATAGACGGACATTTTGAGATAGGATCGCCTGATGATGCCGATCAAAAACAAACTTTATTTATTGAAAATGTCTCCTTTGATACGTTGCAAACTTTTGACGTAAATTAAATACCCTCTGCAAAGGTTTAACGAGAAAGGAAGTTGACTTCTACAAGCCGAAAAAGACGTGTATAACCAAATGATCGGTATAAATAACAAAGTTATATATATATTTTTAAAAACTTCAAAAGCAGGTTGTTAGAAAACCCCATTTTGAATTCTGTAGTTTTATATTGAGAGAGTTCTAAAATATGGTAAAATATTAATTTAAATTACTTAAAACAAACTTAAATGGAACAAAAAAAAAAGAACATATGATACTAACCTGGTTTAGGAAAACTAATAGGGAAATCGACATACGCAGATAACTTAAGATATAATAAATCACATCTCCATATATTGGTTTGTATGCTTCTTGATTATTTTTTGTTTAAAATAACAAACAAGATAAGAGACATCTAATACCATACTTTAAATAAACAAAACGTGGCTTATTTCAACCAATCGTTCCGATGACAGCTTTGGAAATCAGGCGCCTGATCGGCAAGAATTTTGTAACTTGATAAGGACATAAATACAATAATAACAACCGCGATGAATCTATAAGCAAAACAAAACTTGTTTCAGGATATTTTCGACTGTCAACGCAAAAGCTAACTTGACTGTCGAAACAAAAGCCAGCGATAAATTCTCAAACAGATAGCGGTAGACGGTAGCACCGGAAATGTGCGTGCAACAATACCACACTCAACATAAACACATTCATACACTGCGACTATTCCTGTGACTGTGACAGTACGTTACGTTTGTCAACTTCCGCTTCAATGGCTGGTGTGCGTAAGTGTTTGCCGCAACAAAGAGGTTTCACAACATCCGCCTTCACATCCGTTACCACTACTGCTGCCTGTACGGTAAATAGCAACAAAAAATTATAAAATAAAATGAAGTAGAATAAACTTTGCGTAGTTTTATTCGCCTTCTTGTTGAGTACATCTCATCTGAAAGTTTGAGTAGTTGTGTGTCTGCCACAATAGTATAAAAATAGTTAAGACACAACTGCAATGCGCATAGAACTTCATTAATTTTTGCCATAATTTGACCAATATGCAAAGCTGTTTTTAGGCTTTGAAGTCATCTAAATAAAGATGGTTTTATTTTTTAAAAAGGGCAATAAGTTGCTAAAAAGAGTAACAGTATCCTGAACTTGCCGACTTTAAACGACTACGGTCGTTGGACGGCAACGGTGCGTTTGTCTCTGTTTTAATATAATTAGGTACTGAAAATGTTATTATGCTTTTATTGTATTGGAAACAACAAAAATACTTGTGCGGCCTGCCGACTGCAACGTCATCAATGTAGCTGACTTTGTGTCCAATAATTCGATTTACTCACTTTTTACCAAGAGGAGGCCGCCAATCAATGGAGACCAGGGCCACCCTTTAATGGCACTTTGAGTGCATTAGATCCAAAGTGGCTGGTAGCAAACTTTATTATTTCAGCTGAGTACCAATAGCCATTCACGCATTCACCGACATACACGTACAATATGAATGTAATATCATATTTTTTCACAAACTTTGAGTTACTGCCTTCATAAAGTGGAAACATTTTCATTTTTTTTTGTAACAATTTATTTGGCATGTTTAATAGCTATCAAAACTTAACATACCACATCACTCAAATAAGAATGGCTTTAAAATCAAGTAAGGCAAAAAGTTTTAATTTTACACAGTCAGATAAGTATTTTATTGTGGACTAATTATTTAGATATCACGTTGCGTTTGTTAGTGCAAGGTAAAAACAGAATATGTACTAGATTTACAATTTTAAGAAGCACTGGTATATTTTTATATATTACCCCTTGTTTTGTTTATAAACCGATATTGCAATTTCACTACCTGAGTTATTATTTTTCTGTACGGTGGTTACTCTAAAAAAATCATTTCGAACAGGATAAATGAAAGTAGGAATATCATTTACGGCGGTGTAAAAATATATTTCACAGGAGTCCGCGGATCCCTGCAATCACTATGAGTAAGTGAGCTAAAGTAATCCAATAACACATGCTCGAATTTTCTGGTTGCTCCTCAGTAAAAAGTTCCTGGGACATCGTGGGTGTAAGCTGTGATGCCTCAATCACTTCAAATGTTCTATTTTGTAGGGAATCATTGAAGACTTCGAAATCATCATTGGAATCCATTTCTACGCAGTTGGCTGTGTATCTACATGAGCACTTTTGACCAACATTAACCATGCAATCTGCATTGGAAGAAAGATCATATCTATCGTCATCGGATTGAGTACAATTCTGTTTGTAAATCCCTGGTTTGGTGCCCAACGCCCCCTCCGAATGTGTTCGCCACAACAATGGTTCCGACGAGTGCAACCGTTTAATGTGGGCTAAATCATCGAACGATAGTGTTCGTTGCATTAAACTAGGACTAGCCTTTAAAGATAGATGTGGCACATTTCGATCTGGGATGCGCTCGGGTATAAACAATTTAGAAAAACACTTTGAATAGGTATTTTGCTTTTGGGGTTTTGTTAGTGCTCGCAGATAATTGTCCTGAGTATTCTGCCCTGCTACAACAACGCGATTAGACTTATCCATTGACAATGCGGAGTGAATAGTTCGCGTTAGCTCGTTCATTGATGGTTGAGTTAGGTAAACGATATCAGACTTTCTATCTGGAATACGGAGCGTTGTATCTCCATCGTCATCTTTCCGCTTTTCTAATGTTTTTTTGACACCTTTTAAAAATGCACGGCAGCCTCTAAAAATATTGCGACAATTTGTTAAACATGTTCATACCATTTTAACTAGGCTTACAGTTGCATCCACATTGTATAAGATTACTTGAAGCTTCCAAGCTTCCAAACAAGATAAATTTAGAGATAGTAAATTAGTCAGTGAGATAGTTTTGTAGTTTCGATGCATTATTTAAATATTTGACTTCTATGTCTTGGTCAACTAGGTAAATGAAAATTGTGAAAAAATAAGTTTACCCCTTGGAAGAAAATTAAAATGTTAAAACGAAGAAATCATTTAACTAACTACAGCTTTTAATTTTCTTACCTATGTTTTTCATTACTCTTATGGTTTTGTTGTCAGTGTTATGTATTCAAATTTTGGAATTTTTTGGCCCAGTGGATGGCGGGATGAACTGTCTGCATTTTAAAGGCAATACACAACCATGCTGTCGGCTTAAGTGCTCTGCACATTTCCGTTGAAAGTAAATTAAATGATATTAGCTTTTAAGTGAATTATTTTCTTTTTTGTCGGTGCTTTTGACGACATCTCCAACCTTTCATGAAATATAGTAGTCAACTTCCTATTAAAACCATCTCCCTTTTTACAAGACTGGTTGTATTCATTTTAATATGTTTTATAAAAAATTAATTATACAATTTTGTTCTATTTTACAGAAAAATAAGCAAAAGCCGTTCTAGTTGCCTACAAGAGATTATATTTAATGAACATTCGAAAACAGTGGTGTCATGTGTAATAAGACAACTAATCTACCAAAATCCTCACTGAAGTCGGGTTTCGTTAACAGCGGGCTGTTACAACAATTGGACAAGTTCGTTGTCGACGAAACCTGCATACTGTGTGGAAAATCAACAACCCATCGATATATTCTTAATGATTCTAAGTTCAGTTTTAATTTGCATTATTAAGGATTTTTATAATTTTTCTTTTCGAACTCCCAATATAGAGAACATTTGGCTTAGAGTGCATTAGAACAATCGGTCAGAAGGAACTATTAAACTAGATTAACATTAAGTTACTATATTGTTTAACTGTCATGTTTTTTTTCTTCTATTAAATGCATTTTACAATGATCGTGTCGCATCCCTGTCTGCATGCTAACAATTCAGCACAAGGAGATGGAGTACAAGGAGAACGATGTATGGTGCTGAAGGAAGCCACTCCGATTCTGAACATGCCCAAGAGATAAGTCTACTGCCCTCCTACAAAGATGCCTCTAGTCCTGGAGGATTACATCGGTGCTGCCAAGATGGATGGGTCGGAACTAAATTGTCTGTTTGGACTCGAATCACGATTTGGAGAGGGAAAAGCACAAGAAAGGAGCGCCGTAGATGAATCAGAACACAACTTCCTGTACTAAGTCAAAGCCACTCTTTTTTAGCAACAATCAACTATTAACTATTCCCATCTTAGTATATCCATAAGATAATTTAAGCGCACCGCAATATACACCCACTGTTGTTGTGAAATCCATTTAATTTGTAATACCCCTGCAAAGTACGAGGAATTTGATTCTATGAATAAATTATAATTAAAACGATCGCTGCTATGCAGCTAAACTAAAAACATCTAAACATGTTTGGATATTTTTAAGCCAATCTAATAATTTTTACCAAATGTTAAATACATACATACACTTGTACATATTTTTTTTGGGGGTGGCTGTACCAGAAACACTTAAAACGGTTTAAATAAAGAAAGAACAATCCTTGAAAATTGCAAGAAGACATGTGCAAAGGAGACATGCCAAAAAAAATGGCGGTGAGAGAGAAGTTGCACTTTTGACATACAAATGTGGCTATTTTTGGCTATTATTGGCCCAAAACTCTAACACCAACATAAAAGCTAGATGTGTATGTATGTACATACGAATTTAAAATACAATTTAAGTCATTAACTCGAAATTCATACATCTAATCAAAATGGACACCGACTCCATTTTGCCAGAGCGAGAAGGAAATGGCGACAGGTTGGACGAGGAAAAAAGACGTAGCATCTACTGAAGCTTAATAGCACTTATGACCAATTGGTAATCAATCAAACCTAAATATTTACTTTTCGACTGCAGCACTTGATTTACATAATACTGATCAATTACTCACAGCTATATATCCAGATTTTACGCCTTTATGCCCGGTTTCACTATTTCGCTGCTTTTCTTTCACTCTTGTTTTCCGATTAATTTTGGCGCTTCAGCGATCGTGGTATTAGTGGTCTTAGTGTCAACACAACCGTCATTGAACCAGACGACTTATCGATATTCGGGGCTATCAATATATCGATTAAAGAAATGAAAGGATTAATTGAAATTTTTATTCTAATGGAACTGAGTTCTGAACTTAAAATATTAGGGAACATACAACATCAATAAAAAGTTATCCATGGACCTATCGTATTGCAAAATCAACGAGGCATACATCAAAGAGAGCCTTCCAAGCGATTCAAGAGTCCATAAACAAATTTATAGAAAATAGTTGGATTACTCAACACGTTTAAAGCATCAAGAAAAAAGGAAATATGGGGATATTTTCCCCATGTTGGCAGCAAATTTCGATCCACTTGTTTGTTCTTTGCGAGATGTTAAGTGCGATAAATATACATATATAGTAAATAGTACATAGTATATAGTACAGTAAATTGATGATTCTATCTAAAAATATTTTTTTTCATTAAAATATCGGCATATTAGATAAAAAAATAAATCTTAAAGTTTAAAATGCTTGCTGTCCCAATAATTTGGTTCGTCACTGTAGTTTTCGTTACTATTACTCTTCCATCGCTAATTCAAAATCCCATCGCTAACGCGTTAGGAAATTTTTATACTTCTGTGTTTGTTATGTTGTTGTCATTCTTCTTCTTCTTGGCGCGTCGTTTTGTTTTCGCCCTTTTCTAAATGTGAATAATTTAAAGAAAATCTGGAAAAATGGCCCAATTCTCGCCTGACCAGCCGCTAGCCACGCCCACTGCCGAGGAATTTGGATTTCCCTACGCGCCATACGAAATCCAAGAGCAGCTGATGCAGGAGCTCTTCCAAGTGCTCGAAAAAGGGCAGGTGGGCATTTTTGAGAGTCCCACGGGCACAGGAAAATCCTTGACCCTCACCTGTGGCTCTCTCACCTGGCTTTTAAGGCATGAGGAGCTCGTGAGGGCTGAAATGCTGGCGAGGATTCGCGGACTAGAACAAGAGCTGGTCGAACTGGAGAAGGAGGGAGAGAAAGTGAAGGACTGGCTTGGGATCCAGGGAAAGTCCAGGATACTGCGGGACGAGCTCCACAAGCTGCAGCACTTGCAAGATCTGCTGGACAAACACGATGAGCAGCTGGTAGAGATCAGGAACCGGGCTAAAATCGTTAAAAAGCAAAGCAGAAAGCCACCATCCAATCAGGAACAACTGGACAGCAGCCAGGAACCCACCTCTGACTCGGATTCCGAGCATGAAACTGCAGATGGACCCCAGGAAACCACCGAGGACCACTATCGCCCAGTGCAGATATTCTTCTGCAGTCGCACCCACTCGCAGCTTACCCAAATAGTTTCGGAACTTCGCAAAACACCACATGGTCGGGCGGTGAGGTGCATTTCCCTGGGATCCCGGCAGCAATTGTGTGGGAATCCCCAGGTGCGCAGCCTCAAACAAGTGGGACTGATGAACGAACGGTGCTTGGACATGGCCACCAAAAAATCGCAGCCCAATCCCAAGAAGAAAAGTCGGCTCTCTGCAGAGGCCAACAGTAGATGTCCATTAAAAGCTCCCTCCTTGGTGGATTCCGTCAGGGACTTGGCTCTGAGTGAACTCCTGGACATTGAGGAGTTGGCCAGCGAAGGAGCCGCCTGTGGTGGCTGCTCGTATTACGCCTCTAGAGCTGCTCTAGAGAAGGCCCAACTGATATTACTTCCCTACCAGCTGCTACTGCAGAAGTCCACCCGTGAGCAGTTGGGCATTAATCTCAAGGGATCCATCGTAATAGTCGATGAGGCCCACAATCTTTTGGACAGTTTGACCCAGTTGCATGGCGCTGAAATTAACCGCCAGATGTTGGAAAAGGCTAGAATGGAGATCTCTGGCTATAAGGAGCACTTTCAAAAACGGTTTAGCACAAAGAATCTCCTGAAAATTAACCAACTCATCTATATAGTCCGGCGGTTGCTAAAAACCATCGAACCGGGTGATGAGTCGCAGACCAACAGCTCAAGAATGCTGCGCACGTATGAGCTAACTGCCGAAGGAGACTTTTTCAACATCGATCTTCGCGAGCTTCTGGACTTTTGCGCACGGACCCGTTTCGCCAGGAAAGTCCAGGGTCATGCGGCCAAAATACAGAGGGAACCACAGCCCAGTGAGAATAACCCACCTGTGGGAACGGCCAGAAGCCTGATTCTCCAGAGATTGGCCAACGAGCAAAAGGAAAAAGAGAAAACAAAGCCAGGCAAGAGGAAACTAGAAAATATCGAGGATAAAGTGGAGGGGCTGCAGGGAAAGGAGGAGCCGATAAGGAAGCCAGACCTGAAAGTAACCCCTTCCCCCATAAGACCACTGCTGGCATTCCTGGAAACCCTCACTAGTAATGCAAAGGACGGCAGGATTCTATTAGACCTTCAAGGGGGAACCCTGAAGTACCTACTACTCGATCCTGCAGAGCAGTTTGCCGATATCCTGGGCGAAGCTAGAGCGGTGAGCCAAACCATTCAAAGTTAAAAACCTTTTTTTTTATCATTTTTTAATCGTTTGCAGGTCGTGGTTGCTGGTGGCACCATGCAGCCCACTCAGGAGCTCAAGAAGCAGCTGTTTGCCAGCTGCGAGGATCGCCTGGTGGAGCGCTTTTACAACCATGTGGTGCCCGAGGATGCGGTATTGCCCTTTGTGGTTTGCAATGGTCCAAAACGTGCACTCTTACGTTTTAATTTTGCGCAAAGGGCTAGCCCAGAAATGGTGGGTTTCTGAATTTCACTGCTTTTCTCTATATTAAATAATTTCCCAATTCGGCTGCAGCTCCAGGAGCTCGCGATGGTTCTCCAGAATCTCTGCCAAGTGATTCCCGGTGGAGTGGTTTGCTTTTTGCCTTCCTACGAGTATTTGGATAAGGTATACAAATATCTGGAGCAGTCCGGGACCCTTGAAAGGATTTCCCGCAAGAAGACCATGTTTCGAGAGGTCGCGGGATCGGCAGAGCAGCTCTTGGAGAAGTATGCGCTGGCCATAAAGGCATCGCAATCGGGAGGAGCCCTACTCTTGAGTGTCGTTGGAGGAAAGCTCTCCGAGGGCCTAAACTTTGCCGACGATCTAGGCAGGGCAGTTTTAGTGGTTGGTCTACCATATCCCAATCGCCAAGCGCCTGAACTTCAGGAGCGAATGCGGCACCTGGATGAAAAACTGGGACCCGGATCCGGTAATGAATTCTACGAGAATCTCTGCATGAAAGCGGTCAACCAGTGCATTGGGAGAGCAGTTCGTCACATCAAGGACTATGCTTGTGTATATCTCCTAGATGAACGCTACGCGACTGCCGGAATACGCGGAAAACTCCCCGAATGGATTTCCCGACATATCGTAGAGGCGAGTGCCGGAAAAGGAGGCTTTGGAGCAGTTCAAGCACGAACTGCTAAATTTTTTAAGAGTAGGTAACGAATATTTGTACCCAATCGTTAAAAAGCCGTCTTATTGTATTATTACACTTATTGTTATATTAAGTCTCATTTTTTAGACGGCCAATTGATGTAAGGGTTATATATTTGCTTAAGGCAAGGATTTGATATTATTACGTTGGTAAAAACAATTTACGACTTTATAAAAGTCAACGAATTTAAAGTTTTTTAAAAAATTATTTGTATTTGCATTAAATATTTGTATTATAGCATATTAATGGGTCATTTTAAAATAAATTATATTGAATAACATTTCTTTAGAATGTTCTGTAAAACAGCATGCAGAACAAATACTGTTAATAAAATTATAAAAAAAATATTAATAAGTTATTTGATTTTAAAACTTGGTCCCATCTTTATTAAGATTTATTTATTTGTAAGTGATAAAAATAATTATATGTGAAATTATTTGAATTTCTATTTATATTTATGAGTATGCCAAATCGAAGGCATTTGATTTATCTTCGATTTCCTTAAATAATACAAATCTAATAACAATTTAAATAAATGCAAAATATCTGGCAGCACTCGCACCAAAGTGTCATCTGGCAACACCAGGGCTGGATTTTCAAATTTGATGACGTTGCCAGTTCGACGACATTCTCTTTCTGGCAACTATCTGTGCGATAGTATCGAACAAACTTAGTTTTCGCTTCCAGCTCTAAAAACTGCTGTGTTTTCCGTGTTTTCTCGTATTAAAAGCTTAAAAAAGTGTTTACTAAATGAAGTTGAACATGTAAAGCTAACAGGATTTGTGCGGTGGATCGGGGACTTAATATTCGAGCTATTCACTTCAAAATTCGACAAAAGGTGTTCAAAAGCGTAAAAACCGCTGTCTGTGTGTGTTTGTGTGAGTGGTAGTGCGTTTTTTTTTCTATGTGTGCAGTTTCATTTTTTTGTTATAAATAAAATGTTTACTGAAAGACAAGTTTAAGTTTGGTTGTTCTTCAATGAGTAGTTTCCTAATTTCAAATAGGTTTAATCTTTTATTTACACTCTACACATGTGGGTTTATTGATAAGACTGTCTGAAAGTGTTCAGGTTTGGCTTTTATCATCGGGTGCAACAAAACCGAAAGATCAACAACAAACCTGAGTCCGCCGCCATTGAACAAATATTTATTATTAATAATCATTTTCCCCGACGATAAAAAATGAGCAACGTCGCCAGTCGAAGAAATTTCCAAACCTTGATTTACGGCAACCTGAGGTTAATTATTTAAAATACATATATTTTACCTGTAAAATATTTATTTGATTAAAAATCTCAAGATTTTATTACATATCTCCTTCGTTTTTTGGCCCATCTAACAAAAACGTCTTTATTTTAAGGCTTAGGGGTTTTATTAATTTCTTAAAACAAATTTACAAAATGTAGTCATTTTTTCTGTTCTGGTTTCCTCTTACAAATATTTCACACGAATTGGATTTGTGTTTTTTAACCAATTTTGGCTTTATTGTTATATAATCTGAAAGGCTATAGAAATGCGCTAACCAATTCCATTCTTTTCTCTAGGCCAAGTACATCCGACTTAACATTCGAGTTATAACACATCTTTTAAAGTAAATTTATAAAATTCCCCTTTTAATTTACAACATATAATGGCAACGATCTTTTTAAAGTAATTTATTTACGTATTATTAATCAATGCATGAAATCATGACTTATTCGTATCTTTAAAATGGCTAATTCAAATTTAATATAGTTAAATTTTAAAAACTGTGCAGAGTATTTAATGTACCACCCCCGTAGAAACCGCCCCACTATTTAGTGGTTATTCTTGTTAGTTGCTGTCGCCATTGTTTTTACCTCACTGACTAGCAAACTCGTTTTGCTTGACTTTGATAAAAATACAGAAAAAAATGCAAATAAGCGATAAAAAGAAGAGGAAGACAACTAGCACACATTTAAAAAAACTGAAAAATCAGCAGAAAGAGCTGAGTGCCCGGTTGCAGTTGCACTTTAGAAGTTGAAGTTAGGAAAAAAAACAATGCGCTATCGTTATCGATAGCCGTTCCTTCTTCTTGTTTACTTCTTGGACTATATCTGTTCTACAACTGTCCATTTCCTCCTCCTCCTTTCTTTGTTCTTTGTGGAGTTGTATGCTCCACTCCATTCTTGATTTCCAGTATCCAAGTCGAAAAGAATCAAAAAGAGCAGACACCCTACAAGCTAAAGGTGGGGTTTAAAGGTCTGTGTCCATGCATCTGAAAGTTAGTTTTCCCAAAGATCAAGTATATTGACTGTATCTTTAGCGAATTCCTGCGTGAATGAATATCTTGTCGGTACCACCAAGTACTACAAGCATCTAATTGCACAGCAATGGTAGTATTTCATAATTTCCATCAACAGATAAAATATAATAATTTTAATCTCTTGCCTACACCTTTCGAGTTGATAGGATTTTATGTATTTTAAATTACCTGCTTATAAAATCCATTGCAATTTAACCAAAATAAAACTTTTAAATACTATGATCATAATTGATCTCGGTGTTGTTCTGTTATAAGCACGTTAAGGTATTCGTAGGGGATCTAAAAACCGTCATAGCCTTGGTCTTAAGCCTCTCTTGCTTTCTCTGACTCTGTTCCTCTCATTGACTGCGCAGAAGAGAGCGTCGCGCATGTCTCGGCCACTGTCAGTGATGCCAACTTTTAAGGCCATAATAATCCGGTATCATAAGAAAAAAATTATATTTGTTGATGGAGTTTTTAATTTAGAAATTCTTCGACTGTAATGCTAATTTAAAATTATTTAAAATAAATAACGACTGAACCATACTTTATCTTGTTTAATAATTAAAATATCATATTTTTAGGTTACATTCCATTAGAAAAACACGGTAGTTTTACCAAGTAAAAAGAAGCTAAATCTGTTTTATTTTGTAAAACGGAAAATCTGACGGATAAATAGCTTAATTTGCCCGCTAAAGTAACTTCCTCTATTTGTTCGGCTCTCTCTGCTCTCTCCCGTGGCGACGCAGGGAGAAAAGTCTATTTAACCAACCGCGAATCCACTCTCTTTATTATTGCATTTTCAACCGCGCTGCTGGTCGGTTGCGTTCCCATCGAAAAATCGAATCAAATCACGGATAATTTCCAACTCGAAAATCGCCGGGCAGGAATATAATCCCAGATTATATTTGGAGATGGGAAAACTCTGTTGATGAGGACGATGCTCTGATATATCTTCCCCATCTAAGACGGCAGCAGTTGAGGAAGAACTAAGAGGGTGAGAGGAGGTTGCAAAACGGAACAAAACGGAATCGAAACGGGTCGCGGCTCGAAACGAAACGGTAAAAGAAACAACGCCCTGAACGTCCGACTTTTGGCTATATAATAACCCAAATCATGATCGCGGTGTGTTATTCAAAACCAAAAACTGGCTCAATTGGCAGGAGTAATCGGCGAATTACATATGCATGTACATAAGCAAAAACTGCATAACCTGTGCCGGATGTAAAGCGCGCGACTTATCAAACTACTATACTATATAGTAATTCACCATATGTTGCATCTTTACTAAATCACAACAAACCGCAGGCAGTGTTTATTTGTGTGTCTGAATTTTTTTTTGGATTTTTCAATATTTTTTTTGGGTGTGTGAAAAGTGAAAGTGAAAATTTAGACAGAACGCGCTAAAAGAGAATAGAGGAGAGGAAGAGAGAGCATGCGTTGTTGTTTTTTTTTGTTTTTCCTTTTTTTGGCAGGATTCGACTCTCCCCCGCACACGCTCTCTTTCTCTCTAACGGTGCTCTCTCTCTCTTGTTCTTGCAGCGGCTCCCTCTTTCTCAGCGGCTGTGGCGTTTTGTGACGTCAAAACCAGCTACGTCCTTCGCTGGCAGACACACACACGCACACACGCACGCACGCTCATCGACAGACACAATACCACACTGAGAGAAACTCCCACCAAGAGAATCCTCCCCCCAAACAACAACAAAAACAACAGCAGCAGCAGAAAAATAAAGGGAGAGAGGATTTATATTCCTTTGTAGCAACGCGAGTGTGCATGTGTGTGTGTTTTTTGAGGCAGCCGCACTACTACAACTGCAACTGCAGTAACAACAGCAACTAAAACACGGCAATATAGCAACAAAAATGGAACAACCGAGCATTCTCGTCAAAATCCTGCACTCGATTCCGCACGTGAATTACACATTCCGTCGGGTTAACGACACCTTCAATCCGGATAGCGATGTTTACCTCGAGGTGAGTACCAGTCTCAAAACACCAAAAAGATATGGGTATATCATATTAATGACCGAGAAAATGTTTTTTTATGTCCGATTTATATATATAGAAGATAAATAGAAGATGTAATTTTGAACTAGACACCAGCGTTTGCATTTCATTATATAAACTATGGCAAATCAAATCTTTCCAATATTAAATTTCATAATAATAAAGTATATTAAGGAGAAACATTTCAATGCTAGGATTTGAACTCGTGTTTTTATTACCAGTGGCAGATGGTCTAAGCTGGTCCTTTTCGTATAGTAATTCTACCGATAACGGTAATTGTAACAGAAAAGGGGCCAACATAATTTGTGCTGAGGGGGCGGAAAATGTAAAGTGGAAGCGCCTTAAATGAGTCATAAGTAGGGCACTTAGCACGCGATATCCAGAGTAAGACTAAGCTATTTAGAAACATGGTTGAAATGCAGAGGATCAGAAAGGGTAAGAGAAGTATAAGTGTTTTATTTCTTTAAAATATTTTGACTAAACAGAACCATTAAATTAGTGGTATAATCTTAAGTGAAAAAGTATACATTTTAACAGTCATAAGATCTCTATTCACATAGTTAACTTTTAGGTATTAGAAACTGTAAACTCGACTATCTATTACTATTTAAAGTTTGCATATTGTAGGATAAGTTTATTGCATTTGGTATGCAGTAAGATATTTGGGGCTAATGGAATCAAACAAGCCTCGTGCGGGGGATTCTCCGACAGTAACACCACTCCGAAACGCATTCCCAGACACTTTGGTTGGAGTCGTAAACAAATTCGAAGTATCTCCATCTGAGAGGTCGGAATGTATATTATGGGCGATACTTGTGTATAATGGGCGCAGTCCAAACGGCTCCTATTCCGACACCAATCCTAAGTACCACTTGTGGGGAACTCGAGCATCTCTTCTTGAGATTCGAGGTTTGAGTTTAAGTCCCATATCTATTTTTGAATTTTCGGTGCGTGTTTTGTGTCTTTTGTTTCCTTTCCTTGTGCTTTCCTCCTCGTCTTTTTTCCACCAGGTTTTTACCTGCCCTCCGGGGTTGTCCCGTTTGCAATTGCATAGGACACAAAAGGAGGACAAAAGCGAGGAAAAACGCGTGGATAAATTTCAATTTCCATTGCTCTTCCTTTTCCTTTTGCCCCACCTCCAGTTGATCCATTGCCATTTTGTTGCGCTGTGCAGACTCCTGATTTTAGCGTTCTCTCTTGTGAGAGAGGCACTCCGTTGACTGCCTTGCAGGCGTTCCGTTTTCGTTTTGTTCCTGCCATGTGCGCTCCATGTGACGCCTCTGGCAAAGGAAATGGGTGTGGGGCAGGGGCAGGGGCGAAACGTAGAGGGGGTGAGCAGCAGCTGCACACTTCCGGCTTCCTTTTCGGCTCTTTCCCCCATTTAATTCCCTTATTTTTTCTTTGTCTCTCCGCCTGACCATCCGATCATCATCATCTTTCTTATCTCACTCGCATCTTTACCGCTACACATTTCCCGAAAGGGGCGGGGCAGGACGACGCCCTTTTAACCGGCTTCCCAATCAACATATGCAAATTGCGAGTTCCTTTTCTCGGGGTTTCCCCACCCAACGAAATCATTGCTAAAAACCCAGCGGGAAAATTTTATTAAAATTAGCAGACTTCTTCATTTTTCCATTTCCTTGATGCTGGGAAATGCCGGCTTCCAGCGCGAAAATTATGTGTGTGCGAAAATTCAGGTCAGCTGGCTGAGCTATGGCTTCGGTTTTTCTTTTTCGGATTTGTGCTGTTGCAGTTGGACGTGAATGTGGACGTGGATGTAGGTCAGGCTGCACTATAGCTCCCCACGATGCCATTGGAGGAGGAGGTCGAGGGAGCGGCAGAGAGGGTTTAGACTTGGGGCGAAATTTTTGCGCGCGTCAGCAGAAGTCATCCGCACACTTGGCAAAAATTGGATTGAGGGCCTTACAATACTTCTCAGAACAGAGAACTTTTCAATGCGTAGAATTTGGATTTTGTAGATGCCTAAATAAATAAACATATAAACATAACAAATAAAAATGAAAAAGAATTACTATGCTTTTAAAATCACTAGATAATGACCACAAAGTAATGCCATTTAGTACATCGGGTGACAGTTTTAAATTTTTCTCAAAGTGTGTGTCGCCAATGAACGACTAATTGGTATGGCAGTTTGTGGGTTCGAGGTTTAGCTTTTAGCTTTAGCCGGCAAAGCAGAACAACGCCAAAAGGGCCGGGAATATGAAAGGGGGAATGTCAGACTTACATCATTTTGGATTACGTTAGGATGCGATAAGCACTCAAGAGCAACGAGTCCTTCAGCTTGTATTTATCAACGCATAGCCATCTACTAACCAGAGACTCCCGAATAAAACCAATTCAACTCAAGTCAGGCCGGCGCGGCGCGACACTCTTAGCATTGATTATAATGCTGACGACGACGATGATCAATTCAACCTTCAACTAGTGGCGGACGTGGACAATGACAACAGACCAGATACAACCCCATCTCTATATATATAACTGAGGTAGTGCGGGTGCCTTCGTAGCGGGGAGAAATAATTAGGGTGAGGGTCCCGCATCGGCTAAATGAATCCATAGATTGGGCTAAAATTAAACGCGGCCTGGGACTTGAAATGGAAATGGGAGAATGCAAATGAACGAAATGACTTCTTTACCAGAAATTTGCTCCGTATGTACAATTTCCAAATACAGAGGTTTTAAAAGTACAATACAAATACCATACATTTGCAAATGACAAAGAATACTTTTAGACCCCAAAGCTTTTCTTTATCTTCCCCGCTTTACTGTATTCATGGCGGCCCATGGTTTTAGTTAAGAAATTGCTCTACATATAGCTTGCATTTTATGCAGATTGCTTATACGTATATGCATTTCGAATGTCTTGTGCGGATTGTCAACCTTTTTTGCCTGTGTCAACACTTTCACAGCGCCTGGGACTTTCGTTGCGGGTTATGGCAACTGCAATCTGTCTGTTATTGGTTCCTCCGCCGACCCTTTTTCTCATTTTCCCAATAGATTTCTGTCTGCTGCCGGAATAACAAAAGGGAAAAGAGGAAGGACCAGGCTGATTCAGATTCAGATTCAGATGCAGACTGCGATTCCCACTTCGAAGCTGACTGACAGACAGCTGCCCTCACATTTGCCAGATGTGTTTGCCCACTTTACAGATTGTTTTGTATCTGTATCTTTGGCTTGTTTTCGTTTTGATAATTTTGTGATTCTTTTACGACTCGTCATAATGTGGCTGCACTCGGATCTGGATGGGATTTATGTGAACTGACAGGGCTTGAAATATCTCGAACGGATTGTTGTGTCCCCAAATTGCAGTGGCATCTGCGCATCTTTTGTCCGCTGTTTATTAGTTTTTCGGCCTGACTTGGCTCTGCTTGCTCATCTAAGAAGCTCAAGATGCTGACCAATCGACAAGCTAAGACCACCCAAATCAGAATAAATTCGCGGTTCGAACTTTGATTTGAGAGTAGCCCCCACGCTCGAAAATATTTATAGATATGTTAATACTTTAAAAGTGTTGTTTAAAAATACTAAATATCCGTTAATACTTGGAGAGTGTGGAATGATTTTTAAACCATCGCAAATATTTTGTATTGTCTTTATATTGTCGAGCTTTTCAGTCACTACTATCATCCCTTTGAAATTATTAATGAAACGACTACTTAAATCACATCAAACTATATGAAAAATCTTACATCCAAGATGACATTAGATAATACCCATTTTGGCAATTTTCGTGCTTTGTGTTTACTGCTTTCTATTATTTACTGCATAAAAATATGATTACTTCGCGTTGGGGCACACAGAGTTCAAGTTCAAAATCGAATTCGAATTTTGGTTTTTGTTTACACTTCCCTTTGCCCGCACTTTTATCTGTATTGTATATGTTGATATATTCACCGCATTAACACAGAACTCTAATTCGGTTTCGTCTCTTGATTTGTTTTCTTTTGGGATTCTGTTAGAGAATCTCTTTTTCTTCTCCTTTTATTCTCTGGTGTGAAAGTTTTGCGTGGGCCTCTCGTATGTTATGATTACAAGGCCGGGTTTTTTTTATTGCATATGTATCTTATAAGTTAGCTAGAAAACAAGATTCAATCCGAGTTAATGAGCCCGAACTCAGCTGATCGTAATTGAATTTATCATGGATTTATACCCACTTCACATTGAAAATTCATCACCGACGCCGCGATATTAGCATATGAAATTATGCCACGTCAACAGCGACGGACAAACCTAACTTCCTCCATTTGCTCTCGGGTTATATTCAGTACTTTTCGTATTTGTTCAGGGAAGACAGAGACAAAGGCTAAACTCCAACCGATTCTTAGTGCTGGATTTTATGTTTTGTCTGTGTCGGGTTGGTTTCCTGTGCTGCACTTGAACAAAATTTGTCTTAAATTTGGAAAAATGAATTTAAATATTAATCGCTTTTTTTCAAAGTTAAACTAACTTTGCTAGGCAGAAAAATCAACCACTTTTTTTTGGATTAATATGTAAACAATGTCTAAAGCCTTCCGGCTTTATTTTAAAATGTTCAAGTAAAAGATTTCAGAAGTTTTTCTTTTTTAGCTTATTTTACAAATGCATTTAAATGCCTAAAGCATTTTCTTATCTGGAAATCAGAGTAACCTTAAATGCTCCTCCAGCAATCTTTGTTTTTTGTGCCCTTATGGCCCTTTCCTATCGCCCTCAGATGTTGTTCTACCCAATCTGGTATTGGAAAAGATGGAAAGAAAGAGAGAACGGATAGGATCCGTCACGAAGTGACAAAGCGGAAACAACGCTATCACCCGCTGGGCTCACAACAAAATCGCTTTAAATTTATGCGTTTATTATAACTGTTGTCGCTCGCTGAGGGCCACTTCTCGAGGGTCGAAGAGGGGGGCAGGAAGTTGGATGGAGCTGTGCTGGAAACTGGTTTTTCACCAAACATTCTACGAAGAAATGAA